GGGAGCTTGTGACCTATAGCGGGCAAAGCTTCGAGGAACAAGACAGTGAAGGAGGAGCTGATTGGAGTACAAGGAGCTACTACCCAAAGCCCTCAAAGATTGAAGCGATGGCTGAAGAGAGTTTGAAGCTCATTTCAACCGCCTTGGAAAGGTTGACAGTGACCCAAACCACACAGGCATGGTCAAGGCATCTGAAGGCTCCAGATGTTTTCAAGCCTGAAACTCGAGATCATGAACTTCGAGGCTGGAGCGATTGGAAGTTTTCGTTCTGCAACTATGTCAGGGGCATTGACCCAGCTCTTGCAGCAGCTATGGAGGTTGTTGACAGGGAGCTCAGTGCGGACTACGCCCTCGACGATATGACGGAGGAGATGCAGGGCATGGCCATTCGCTTGTACAGCCTTTTGACTTCCTACATAAGGCAAAGGCCATTGAAATTGGTTTGCCGCGTGAAGCAGGAGAATGGCTTTGTCGCGTGGCAGACATTGTTGAGAGAGATGCAACCTGCAACCCGAGCCAGGAGTCTAGCTCTTTTGGCTCAGCTCTCAAGTGTTCAGTTTGCAGAAGGAAAGACATTGAGTGAGCAACTTCGCCAGTATGAAGCTATTGTGGCTGAGTACGAGAGGATTTCACAGAAGGAGTACAGTGAAGATGCAAAAGTCGCGTCTATCTTGCAAGCTTGCCCAACGTACATGAAGCAGTATCTGCAGTTGTGGGTGGATGACAAGACCACCTACGAATCCTTCAAGAACAAGATACATCATCTTGAAGCGCTCACAACAAGATGGGAGGCTTCGAACAGTCTAGCACTCCCAACACGAGCAAGTGGAGATGATGCAGTGCCGATGGAGGTTGACTACGTTGGCAACGAGAAGGACAAGAAAGGAGGCAAGAAGGGAAAAGACGTGAAAGGAAAAGCCAAGGGCAAAGATAAAGGAAAAGGGAAGTATGAAGGCAAAGGAAGTTGGAAAGGACAGAGTCAGGAGAAAGGAAAGAGCTCATGGGACAAAAGTCCATGGAAGGAGCCCGAGAAAGGAAAGAACGATAAAGGAGTAAAGGGCAGCAAAAGTGGTGCTTGTCATGTATGTGGGAAGCAGGGGCACTTCGCTAAGGACTGCTGGAAGAGAGTGCAGCAGGTTGAAGATCAGCCCAACCCAGGTGGAGCATCGAGCTCATCCACAGGACAACCAGGTGGCAGCACGACATAGACCACCTCTGTGAAGATGGTTCGCCTTGCAACTCCACCGGGTGCACCCTGACTGAGGTTTTCGATTTGACGACGCCACGGACAGCTGCAGACGAGATGAGGCACCCTTGGAGGATACAGATGATGAGGCTGACTGAGGACTTTGAGCAATCAGAGGATGAGGTGCAGCTGGACAGAGATGAGAAAGAGGATGAGGGGCGCCATGTGGAGTTCCGATAGTGGCAATGGACTTGCAGTCTATGAAAGCTGAAGAGAGCGCCTTCTACATGATCCAAATGGTCAGCATGAGAGAAGCAGATGAAGAGCAGTGTCTGGTGACACTGGATAGTGGAGCCGACATTTCAGTGTTGCCCATCAGCTATGGGAACGTGGGAGAATGGAGGCCAGGATCGAAAGATCTAAAGATGGTTGATGCTCAATGGTAAAGAGATTGAGATCAGCGAGGAGTTCATTTTGGGAAGCGTCCAACATCCCATCATGTGTGCAGGCAGACTACTCCGAAAGGGATGGAGCATCCAAACGAAAGACAACGGCCTGCAACTTTGTCATGGTGACAGAGACATTGCCATACAGACTAGTGTTGAAAGACATTCACTTCAATTTGAGGCCAGAATCTATGGGGTGGAGCAGCAGGTGCAACAGGAAGTTGAAGAGAACAGAGTGATGGTTCTGAGAGGCTACCTCAGTCGATACGAGTTTGTGCCGGGATGGCCTCGACTACCAAATGGTGTGGTAGCGCACAGCGATCCTGTTGCTGTCTACATGGTTGACCCCAGTCAGAGCATTGAAGGAGATTGGAAGGCTCGCATGACCATGGTGAAGGACAAGGATGGCCTATGGCGGCAAGTTGAGAACACCGAGAACTACAAGGAGTTGGGTGAAAGAGCATTCAGGAAGGTGAGCGCCGACAAGAATCCTGAGAGGATGCTGACTTTCTTCTCCCCGTACCGCTTGCTGGATTATTGGGCACCAAATTCAGAGGTTCCGGTTCACCCATATCCAGAACCCACAGGAGAGATCCGGCACATCGAGTGGTCAGATGAAGAGGAGCAAGAGAGAGAGAGGAGGAACTTGAAGAGCAGATCGAGCATCAAGAAGTGGAGAAAATGCATGTGGCTGAGAAGGGAGACGAAGTGGAGTTGGATGAAGTGATATTCAACGAAAAGAATACAGTGAAAGAACTTCAGCTGGCATGCAGAGAGAGGGGATTGGCCTACACTGGCAGCGAG